ATAAGGATGACTAGTACTAAGGAGGAGGTGATTGTCCAGCATGTATTGAAGCTAGACGAGCGAGGATACCCACCCCGGCTTGCTGATGTGGAGGATATGGCCAATTCTCTGCTTGCTGAGCGCCACTAGCCCTACGTTAGCAAGAACTAGGCTGCCAACTTTGTAAAACGTTAGCTAGAGCTCAAAGTTAAATTTAATTGCAAGTACAACTATAAGAGAGCTCTGTGTAAGGATCCTAAGGTGATTAGGGACTAGTTCTAACTAGTAGAGAATACTAAAGCTAAGTATAGTATACAAGATAAAGACACCTATAACTTTAATAAGTCTAGCTTTATGATAGGTGTTATATCAACAGGAGCTGTTGTTACAGGCTCTGAGCGTTAAGGGAGACTAAAGGCAGTGCAGCAGGGCGACTAAGAGTAGACTAGTATTATCTAAGGCATCTGCGCGAAGGGCTGGTCTATCCCACCCTTTATTATCTTCTCTAGTAAGCACTACCTCTCTGCCTAGTACAAGGAGCCTAGTATACCTAATAACTAGGTTCTTAATGTCTCTAACAATAGCTAGACTAATAACAAGCTTAGAGTTAAGTAGTTAAAGCACTTTAATAAGCACACAAAGGCGCGCACTGTTAGCAGCCATTAGCTGCTTATTCTGGACGGCCATGAGAGCCACAACTCAGTCGAATTCCACCAGTACTGCAAGGAACACAAGATTATTACCCTGTGTATGCCTCCACACTTGTCGCACCTACTGCAGCCTCTTGACGTAGGCTGTTTTGCCCCGTTGAAGAAGGCCTATGGCCGCCAAGCCAAGCGGCTGATGCGCAGCAAGATTACTCGCATCACCAAACTTGAGTTCTTGCCGTGCTTTAAAGCGGCTTTTGACGCCTCAATCACAGAGAGCAACATCTAGGGAGGATTTAGAGGTGCTGGCCTAGTCCCACTTAACCTAGAGGCTGTGCTATTAAAGCTTGAAGTACAGCTGCGCACACTAACGCCACCTACTGTAGACAACAGTACGTAGGAGTCTAAAACACTAAGCAACACCCTAGAATTTAGGTCTTAATTAAAGCTAATTTAAGAGAGGATTTAGAGACACGCTAATAGCTCACCAACGTCTATAGTTAACACTCTTAATTAGCTCACTAAAGGCGCAGAGCTAATAGTGCATTTACTAGTTTTAGTGCGTAACTAGGTTGCTAACCTACAGGTAGCTAATAAGGCTGCCACACGTTGTAAATCACACAAAAGGAAGCAATTATAGCAAGAGGGGACTCTAGTCTTTGCTAAGGGAGTGTAGCTAACTACTCTAAAGGAGTTTAAGGCCTATAGTAATAGGAAGAAGGTAAAGAAGAGGTTGCGTGTTAATAGGAGCACTTAGTCTCTAAGGCGCTGTGGCACATGTAGCAAGACAGGGCATAACGCGCAAACATGCAGTAAAGATACACAGAGTACTACAGACTAGTTTAGTATACTGTGTAGTATAATATATTATAGTTGTGTGCTGTAATGTTGCAAAGTAGGTGCAGTATTGGTGTGGTCTTGGCAAAAGTGGCCAGCTCGCTTGGGTGGCCAGCTCGCTTGTGGAGTACGTTACTTCCTCCTTATATTTATATTAATTATTCTTATATTATTTAAGGAGTACTTTATAGTACTTAAGGTCTTCCTTAAATGCCTTCTAGCCTTTTATTAATAGCTTAGTTAGCCTTAATAGTATGTTAGTGTTTGCAGCTAGCGCGTAGTTAGTAATAGTTAGAGCCCTTAGCAAGAGTAGCTTTAATAGTAGTGGTGTAGTTGTCTTTAGGTTGATCTTGTCCTAGATATTGCGCAACAGGCATCTCGCCTGTAGCTGCGCAAGCTAGCCAGTCTAGTTAGCTTAGTCCCTAAGGACTGTTGTTAGGTTGTGGTATATTAGTTGCGCTATTTTAGTTGTAGCAGTTTAGTTATAGCAGTTTAGTTGTAGCAGTTTAGTTGCAGCAGTAAGACTCTTAATTGTTAGATTCTTATACTATGAGCTAGAGTATGTGCTTAACAAGATCTTAGGTGGTATAATAATTTATTGATGATTGTGGTGATAGTGTCTCCTGCTGTGGCGTCGTGCTGGTTGCTACAGGATTGAAGTGGGGGGGGAATTAGCGCTGTTCGCGGCCGCCTGTGTGCGGGCCAATCAGGAGTTGCCAGGTCTCGCTTAATCGACCTGGCAACTGCTGATTGGCTGCGCGACAGGTCCCTGCTCGATTGCGCAGATCCGACCTCTCGCCGCTCGCTCTTATCTGACAATATGCCTTGTAGCGGATTCACACCTATTCTGGATATCTCTCTTCTTGCCTGCGTCGTTACAGGTACCTAGCAAGCATACTCATCCTAGGTAGGCTTTTGCTAGGTAGGCTCAATAACTCAATTAATAGTTGGCCAAATTAGGTAATTATTCTTTAATACGAAGCGCAATACTAGGCGCATCTATCGAAATATACATTAAATAAGCGTATATCTACTTGTTAAGGAGCTAGAAGCGAAAACCAAAAAAATCCTACCCTACCTATCCGCCAGCCTATCGCCACATGCCCAGCCTGACACTTTTTTTACTGTCTTTCAGACTTAGCAGCTGTAATATAAAAGCTACAAGGAAAAGTTATATAAGGAAAATAAACTATATGTAATTTTCTTTAAAATAAGTCCTTATTCGCCTACATTGGCCCAGTATTAGCCAAGTTACGGGGGGGGGCGCCCAAACAGGACTTTAGAGCATACCCATTCGCCAGCCTACCCGAGCCCACTATCCATCACGATGTCACGAGGCCGCAACGTCAAACTTCTTAGTAGACATAAACAACGGAAGCTGTTCGGATAGCTCTATTTACTACTCGACCGTAGAATCATATCTATTCATCTATTGTGGGTGGCTCTACAGCCTCATGTTTGCTTGGGCTAGTAGGGCCGATCGCGCGCATTCGATGAATCCGCGCATTCCGTGCACGGACACGGTACCCGGGCCATGTCGCCCCCTGCTAGCATTTGGCCGAAGAATTGAATTTTTACGGAAGCTGCACTTTCAGTTCTTCGATACATCTTTCTGTAGATAACATTCTTTCTAAGGGGAGCGTCAAGTATGAACTCTTTGATTCTTCTGCCTATATTTTTCATACTTCAAATATGCCACGCCTTTGTCTCGCCTGATATATACTCCATTACACAGCCCGCAGGTTCGAGTGCGGATCCAGGAGAGAACAGTCAACCACTGACCGTACCTTCCCAATCGAGGTTAGAGGAGCAGACGCATATCGCAATATTTTTTGTACTAACGGCGTTACAACAGACATGCAGCTGGAGCGAACTCCGGGCTGAACATATTCCTACCAGACTATCAAGCAGACCCAAATTGGTACATTGTCTCCTAAAAGCTAGGAACTAGTGTACTAAATAACATCATATCAGGCTACCTCTTACACTATCTCTCAAGACAGTCGGTTTGCAAGTGAAGGTCGTCGAATCGCTGAACATTTCTTCCCAATGCCGGAATTTGCTTATCTACACGTCTCCAAGCGTGAGCTACAGCCCAAGCGCTGCGGATGCTGAAACTTTGACTTCCTTTGTGGCTAGCGGTGGCAGATTGATATTCATGAACCAGGTTCCCGCCGCTCTTCAAGCTCTTGCAGGTGTATCTGCATCTACTGTAGACACGAGCGGTTCGAGATCTATTCTGCAGTTGATGAACACTGAGACGCCCGTACAGGCTCTCCAAGGTTTCGACTTCACAGAGTACTATGACACGAACATGCCGTTTTATGACAATTACACTGAGAGCGGTCTTGTTAATGTTGGCTACACGCCTACCAACGGTTCACAAACACTTGGCAAATTTCTGGTTCGCAACAATGGTGTGGACAGCGCAGATACATCTGCTACAAGTGCAGCAATTGTAAAGCATCAGCCTTCAGGTGCGAGCGGCTATGTGTACAGCTTCGGAATGGATCTTGGGTATCTGTATATCCAGGCTCAGAATGAGGGCGGCGGATACTCGCCATGGTACGATGGACATTATTATCCCGGATATGACATCGGGACACGCGTCATCAAGAACATCGTCACTACTAGTCCCAACTTTGTGAGCCTTTGGACGGTTCCATACAATAAAGGGCTCGCCTTCACCACTACTTGGGACATCGACACCTACGTCTCGTATCCGCACGGTCAGGGTATGGCCGCCGCCGCACAGGATAGAGGCGCCGCGGGCAATTTGAACCTCCATACCAAGTACATCACCGATGCCTATGAGCGTGCATACTTTCAGTATGGCATTCCATACATCTATCAGATCACCGGGTTCCGAGTGGCTCCTGACGGGTACCCATATATCGACTTTGGCAGTCACACTGTCAGCCACTCACCGAATGCAGCAGAGTTTCCCTATGGCACTCTTCAGGAACAATTTGTCCAAGGGAGCAATGCAGGGTACGCGCCGTACATTCACCAATGCGGACCCAACCGTGACGGGACACCCATCAATGGAGAGGCATGCACAAAAGGAGGCCCCAGGTAAGTTATGAATGTGCGAAATAGGTGTGAGACAAACACTGACTTCGTACCTCCACCTCTGTAGTGGGCTCTCTTTCTATACATCGGGTGCTTCTGCATCAGGAGAGGTCCGCGTGAGTGCCTATTTGATTCGACATATACTCCAGGATGCCTTCAAAACCGACTACAATCTGACTACCTATCGTCCAGGAAACCTTGCGTGGAGCCAGTATCAAGCCTCGCACTGCGTGGCAAACGGAATCATCGGTGGCTCTTCATGCGCAGGCAATTCTCACCTCACTCACCTTCCATTTCAAGTCACGCATAACCGCGAGTCGTTCCAGGAGCTCCCATACTACGAGTTCCCACTCCAATGGTCTGACGGTGACGGCAACATGAGCAGTGCCAACTTTCCAGGCTCGGACTTCTCGAATCAGATCATGTATATCAAGAAAATGGCACGGTACGGCGGCCACTATAACATATTGATTCATCCTTCGGACGCAGTGTTCGACAAGATCCAGATCCAACGCGCACTCCACGATACAGTGCGTCCTTTTGCCGTCTTCTTCAACCAGACAGGAATAGCCAACTGGTGGACAAATCGGGACCGCGCGGTTGTGGACATCACAGCAGCAGATAATTCGTCTGCGACGATGGCGGTCCGCTTGGATGGTCCTACAGAAGGGCTTACTCTGCAGGTACCTCGCAACTATGCCATACAGTCCGCCACAGGCTCTCTCTCAGTCTGCCAGCAACTTTCGTACGATGAGACGACAAACGCAGTGGTACTGCGAAATACGGCAAAGGGGCTCTACACGCTTACTTTCACCGTCGGTTCAAGCAACGCGTCTACCTCCACGTGCCCCGACTTCACGCCAAAACCGGTCGGAGACTCAGAATGTATTGCGTGGGACGTTATGATCGACGACTTTCTGGAGCTCTACTTTGGCGACAATAACGTCAATCTGCTTTTGTTGCAAACAGTTGCAACTGGACTATCGTCGAACAACGTAGATGGTACTTTGCAGCTCACCGCAACTACAAACAGTGGCGTCAACTCGTACTACACAGAGATCTCTCGATTCTGCTTTCACGCTACGCTTTACACACATTTATACTTTGACATGGTCGCTCCTCCAGGAACCACTTTTTACGTGCAACTTGTCTCGTACGATTCCGCTTGCACCGTTGAAGAGCCAAGTACTACGTACTTGGACGTAACCAGATACGCCGCTGCCGATGGATCGAACCATACTGTCACCATACCCTTATCAGACTTCCAGGGACAGAATATGCTTCATGTTCGCGGTATACGTATCGGCAACATCTCGCCAGCCCAGACACCCATCTACGTCGATAATATCAAAATTCAGAAGCGATGTGTGACAGCCCCAGGGGAAGACAGGACTCAGGGTCTTGCAATTGAGTCATTCCAGAATGTTGATCGGTGGATCACTGGTATCAACAATATATTCGGCCAGACTGATTACAACAATTCTATGACGTTTGCAAAGCTCTCGGAGCTGGGCAGAATGCAGTTGTTGCCGTCGAGCGCAGACTCGTACTTTTATTCCAACACTGCTGTCAATGGAGTCAACTTGAACGCTACCGCGTACAACGCAGTCTCTCTCAATGCACGTGGCCCGTCCGGTGGCTCTTTCGACGTTGTCGTGAACTCGGGTGCCGATACTACTTCCACCGTCAACACTAGGTCTTATGCCACCTTAAGTCAGGACAACTTCGCAAACATCACAATCCCTCTTTCGGCATTCTCAGGACTCGACACTGACTCCGTCAGCCGCATCACACTACGCAACTTCACACCTAACGGTGGTCCTGCTGCTAGCAACTTCACGGTGCGATGGATTTCTCTTCTGGGCGGATCGTCCTTAGGTGGCGCCGGTTCACGTTGCACAACTGCCTCTGGTTATGTTGTGCTGGACTTCTGCGATCCGACTGAGTTCGAAACGCAGACCAACGCTCTGGGCGCTCTTTTCTCAGACGACAATACGATGCAATCCTACGAGCAGGTTGGCAGTGGGTCCATCGAACTCGTCCCTCGTGATGCCACATCTTACTTCTACTCGTTGCTTGCAAAACCATCCGGCTGCGCAGCGGTGAACAGTTCTTACGACGCGATTGCACTCACTATCTCAGGCCCACAAGGCGCAACTGCCGATATTGGGTTCAAATATGGTGGTAATAGCTGCAACACTAACGTAGTCACGTCTTACTTTCCAGTCACCTTCAACGCCGCGCCGACACAAATCACGGTTCCCTTCTCTCGGTTTCCAGCTGGCTTCAACCAAGACTACCTGCAGTCATTTGTCATGACCAACTTCAATTCTCCCGGCTCAATCTATCGTGTTTACTCCTTGGCCTTCACAGGACCGGCTGATAGCCCTGGTTGCGCGCTCTGCTCAGGCACCATCCTAAACACTTGCACATTCGTACCCGAAATCCCGCGGACGAATCGACTCATTGGCCAGATGACTGATGAGGGATCTCTTGCTTCATACTCCGTCAGTGACGACGGCTCACTCAGTCTGGGTACTGGCAACGATGCGTACTGGTACTCTCAATTTGGTTCCAGCACGTGCTACAATGCAAACACGGTAAATGCGACCGGTATTCAACTCTCCATCGCGGCTCCCGCAGATACTACTTTCCAGGTCTCGATGCGCTGGAAGACGGATGATGAGTGTACTACGACGTCGCCTCCGTCCTCTGTCGCCATCACTTCATACGTGACTTTTACCGGCGCTGATTCGTACCAAGTTGCACAAATTCCCTTCTCCGATTTCCCGGAAATGAACTCTAGCAGACTCAACAGCGTCGCAATCTCGACTTTCAGCCCCTTTGGTGTGGATATCAAGGTTGGCTGCATCAGTTTGATATCCATCGCTGCCACGCCCTCGCCTCAGACGTGCACCTGCCCTGATACCGCGTGGTTGAACTACTGCACTTCGGGAACCGCGAGCCGCAATGCTAATGGCAATGTGCAAAGCGACGACGGAACCATGGATACTGCACCAGTCATCACCGACGGTGCTTTGGTTCTGCAACCCACTCTATCTGGATCTTACTGGTACTCGCTCCAAAACTGCGCTGACGTTTCCGCGTCTGAGTTCCTTTATCTCAATGTCACAGCAAAGGCGGGCGCGAGTTTCAATGTGCAACTGCAGAGTGGTGGTAACTACTGTGCTGGCTCTACACCGATCCAGAGAGCCAGTGTGGCGAGCGCTGCGTATGGTAGTATGAATGGTAGTCCTGTTGTTCTGCGTATTCCACTTTCGACTTACACGTCGATGAACAACAGCGCTTTCTCTCTGAAGGCTATTGATGCGGTCGTTCTGGAAGGCTTCAGCGCTGAGACTTCCACGTATCTTATCCATTGTGCATACTTTAGCAGTGGTGCGACGAACAGCACTGCTGCGTAGACAGGTCCCAAGGGTACTATTAGATTCTCTTAGAACAATAGAAAGGTACATCGGGAAAAGTTTTTTGAAATCCAGCCCAGACTGGCCGTTGCTAACAGTCGTTGCATGGCTGTGTAACGGCCGTTCAACAGCCCCAATTTCGCCAACGACCAAAACGTTGAGTTCCCATATTCAACGAACTAGTAAGAACGTTGCAAAGTCGTTCCATGCCTATCAGAAGATGTACAAAATATCCAAAAATTCTGAAATTTATATGCAGAAAGAGCGTAATTGTAGCTACAAAGGAAGCTTAAAACAATAGCAGCAAGCCTTTAAATAGGTAAGTTGTCATGCTTTTAAGTTCACTTTTAAAAAAAAAATTTGAAGTCCTTCTACAACGAATCTCTTGCTACACCCTGCTGTCTATTGCTTGTTACATAACCTAGAAGTTATAACGTACTCCAGAAGCGAGCTGGCCACCCAAGCGAGCTGGCCACTTTTGCCAGGACTACACCGAACTTCACTCTCTCTGTAATGCCTCAACGCAACAACATAAAAAAGCCTTTAAATAAAACAGATATACAGCTTGCCCTCTAGGCTATCTAGCAAGACGCAACACTAAGTATGCAATATGCTACAGCAATATACTAGGTCTCTTAAAGCACCCTAGGCACGCGCCTTACTAGAACCTCTTCACAACGCGATTGCAAGCCCAACATGATAAGGATGACTAGTACTAAGGAGGAGGTGATTGTCCAGCATGTATTGAAGCTAGACGAGTAAGGATACTCACCCTAGCTTGCTAATGTAGAGGATATAGCTAATTCTCTGCTTGCTAAGCGCCACTAGCCCTACATTAGCAAGAACTTGACTACTAACTTTATAAAATGTTAGCTAGAGCTTAAAGTTAAACTTAATTATAAGTATAACTATAAGAGAGCTCTGTGTAAGGATCCTAAGGTAATTAGGGACTAGTTCTAACTAGTAGAGAATACTAAAGCTAAGTATAGTATATAAGATAAAGACACCTATAACTTTAACAAGTCTAGCTTTATAATAGGCGTTATATTAATAGGAGCTGTTATTACAGGCTCTAAGTAGACTGGCGGATGGGTACCATGTACCTAGGGTAGGGTATAGGTAGGGTATAGGTCGCACGGACGTAGGTATAGGTAGGGTAGGGTCGCACGGACCATAGGTATAGGTAGGGTAGGGTT